AACAAGCATGGCAGTGGGTTGTATCGTTGCATTGATTCTGGACAACACCATTCCTGGTACCATTGAGGAACGCGGGCTCAAGGCTTGGAGGCAACATTTATCAGATCACAGTGATGAACAGTTTCAAACAGCTTCTATTAAAGTCTATGATTTGCCGTTTGGTCTCAACCGCATCAGTAACTACAAAGTGGCCAAGTATTTGCCTTTCCTGCCTTATAACGACGAGGAGCACGAACGAACACTTGATGCAGTAGAAATGAACACTGTCAGCTCAAAGTAATCTCGCTGGTTAAATAAGTTCCGAAAGTAACAACCCGCTCTCCACCAATAGAGAAAGCCCGAAATTCACGACCCTCAAATGTAATTCGAAATTTTAAAAGGCAAAGGTGGGAAATAACAGATACGAAGGACAGTAAACCGATTGTTATTTCTTAATGTTAGTTCATGTCAACACCTCTCGCCTTCGAGTTATCAAAAATATCTTTTTCTACAAAGAAAACAAGTTCTTCTACACCCAAATTTTATGTGCCTGGGATGAAGAGTTCTACGCTTATGGTAGAATCCTGGCAAATGGGTTTGACTACACGTGTTTGCTTCCCGTCCCCTTACCTTCTGATAGAATCTGAAGCTGAGTAATTATGGTTATTTTCGGAACTTTACTTCAAAACTATTTATTCACACCAAGAAACTATGATGATAGATCATAGACCATAGATCGTAGTCTCTTTTTTAGGTGGTTACTTGATAGCAAAAAAATGTTTCCTTAATAGCAAAAAAGGTGTTTCCTTCAACATTACTTATCTTCACACAGTCCTCGCTTGCTTTGTCAAGAAAACACCACAGAGTATATGCATGTTAGAAATCAAAGATCATACCGTTAATTCTTTGATCGTAACTCCAGTGACATAATAACATTTGATTAGCATGCACGATTCAGTGTCTGGTCAACCCCCCAAAACAGCTCTGAATACTGATTGAAAAAAGCACGATTAACTGTCCAGAAGAATTTGAGCCGAATGTATTGAACGCTGTTCGTGCGACACGGGTTTAAAACTCAACATTTTCAGAACTTTTAACTAAATCAAACTTAGAAGAGGAATTAAAATTTTCAGTTTCTTGTTGGCTGAGTAGGAGGTAACAGGAATCATTGTTTGGCTCTCTGTTATGATGCATGGACCTCATCGACCTGTGCCGTCCTAACCGTCAGCTACGTAATTTCCCACTTAATGCGCATTTCCGAGAATACGTGAATGGTATAAATCAAGGAAATCAAAATTGTGAATATCGCGAATTGTGCTCTACATATGAGTGTGTTTTCCTTTTGGGTGATCTGGATCAGTGATCAGTGATCCAATACCACTCAGATCATGGTGCTTAAAAGGAGCAGATGAATCCTTGACCAGAGTAGACTCATCGGTTCCTTTGATGCACCATGATCCGAATGATCTTGGACTACGATCGTGATCCAGATCACCCCCAAAAAACGCAACCATATAGATATCTCGTATCCAGTTGAGACTGCAAATACCGGAATCTTATGTATATTTCTGTTTACTTTTTTTTACACTTGCATCACACTTGTTTGTCTTGGGAGTGGATGAAATGAAGTCTAAGAAGGAATCAGTAATGCATTTGGGGCGAGTAGTTTGTTCTGAAAAGTAGTTGATCGCTTCCACCACTTGAATCACCCTATAGCGTTTAAAAAACTAATCGTAGTTAAGAAATTTGATCACATGGAACAATATGATCACAACCATTTAACGTGATGCCTGACGATGGCTTGTCAAGGGCTTATGACGCACGAACGCAGCCATGCACCAAACGCTATGATAATTATGTGCCACAAACCTATACAATACGTGTGTATTTGGAACACACAAGGGCAGCCAACTGAAACAACACGCTAACACGGCGAATATTTTATCATATTCGTGACGATTTGGACCAGTTTCATTACACCCGCAGTTCATATTTTGCATGAAAATCTACTGTTATTAACGACCAATCTGGAATTTTGCACTTATGTTAGGAACACCAGAGTTTAACTAGGATAGTTGACTGAACGATATGATGCATACAAACCACCCAAGAACAAAACAAAACAAACAATGACCGTGGGAGCGAATTACAAGAAATCCGCTAATAACTCACAAACATGACAGTTATCGTCAAAATTGACAAGCGCCAATGGGAAGGTTCAAGAAGCTCTCTCAGGGATGACACATCTTGAATGATACCCTAAATGTTTCAAGTTAGTTTGTCAGTTACAGTACCTACATGTCTCAGTCTGCCTCATTCGTTAACATCTTTGTTTCTTCTCAATTACTTTTTTTCTCGTTTCGACTCTGGCGAATTATTTGAGGTTTCCATGACTTGAACGACATTTTATGCCTTGCAAAAGCTACATGGACTTCATGTTGATACCGGCCCATTTATTTAAACTGTGGCTTCACTCCACAACTTTCCGTCAACCATGTGAATAAAATTCGGGTAAACAACTCCTACCATGTTTTCTTGTCTCCATGATCTTCTTGGCTTCGTGTTATCATTCCATTTGTCGCGAGAAGGAATGACGATAGTTTCTTGACTTGTGTTTATGATAGCTATAGGGTTCAGGAATGATTGTACATGACCAGTACTCTGCTGCGAAGGTGTACTGGTCTGGTGTATTAGCGTACGATTCTTTGTTTCAGCGCAAAGTGTTTTGTCGGAAGAATATCTTCCCTCAGTTCTTCGTCCAGTAGCCCGTTTGCAGTAGCAAAAACGACAACAAAAAACATGTGCGAATGTTTCGTGAAATCGCTCACTTCTTAGACCAATCAAGTAAGGATTTATGGAGCAGTTTAGGAAGCCACACCAGTAAGCCGCTAATCCTAAGCCATGCGGTAATTCATCCCGCGAGGAAATTGACGCAGCAATCGCGATAAACACAAAAAACGGCATCCAGCAGATAATAAATGCTATCAAGGCGAGGAAAAACGTTAAGACAATCCTTTGCTGCTTTTTTGCGAAGTCTTTAGGATTATTACCGAATGTTGAAGATGACATTCTTCTTGTATGATGGCGCACGACTAGATAAATTCTTATATATGTGTAACTCATTATGATGATGGGTAGGAGAAATGCGATAACCGCGAGGAATATCATATACAACACTTCGATTCTGTTCTCAGGGAATCCAAAACCGCACTGTAGTGTTGAAGCGTTGTAATCGTTGCGACCCCAGCCTAATATAGGCCCAAGAGAAACGGCAACTGAAAGTAACCATATACCCAAAATGGAAGAGAAGGCCTTTTTTCTTGTCATAATTTTCTTCATCGGTTTTACCACGGCGAAAAACCTGTCTACTGAGATAGCAGTGTGAGTAAATATTGTATTGCAGATCAAAACGGAACTACAGAAAGCGTTCAGTTGACAGACGTACCCGGCTGGGGGATATGTCCACTGCCTGGTGATGGCTGTCTTTAGCGGAGTCGTCATCGACAGTAAAGCCATAGCAATATCACCAATGGCAAGATTCACCAAGAACATGTTCATTTCTGTCCACATTCGTCTGTTGCGAAGAACTACGTAGCAAATAACGGCATTTCCCGCTAAACATGTAATCATTATTATCAGCAAGGTAGCGGCGGCAATAGCAGTTTCTGTGACAGTGTAATCCATCGGAAAATTGACTTCGCTTTCGGTTGGTGACATATTTTTGGACCAGTTTGGTGGAAACGTTTTTTCCATTTCATTATCCGAGTTTGAGGTTTTCTGCAAGGAATCGACAAGGAATGACAATATTATGACGAGATTCCTGAAAATTTCGGATCAAGTGCTCATTGTTTCAAACGAATGAAAACACAAAACCACAAAATTTACATGTTAGGTGCCTGGTGAGTATTGGACCAATATACGTCTGTTTCGATGTTTATGTGTGTTAATAATTTAATAGCGTGTTCTTCGCTGCTAACTATGTACAAAAGAAAAAGCCGTCTCCAGGAAGTGAAAACGATGAAGCACACGAAAATTAGGTGTATTTGCATACCTTAACTGACGAAGCTGCCACGTGCGCTGCTGACAATGGAACACATTTTTAATTATCTTGTTCACTGAAACCACAGGTCAATGCATGTTGGGCTTAAATCCCTTCCACATTAATATGTCAGTTTCTTTGTTACTCCTTCAAGCATGAAGCGATAATTAATTCACTTATCATTGCACGTGAAACGCGGCCGGACTGTTTGATCGTTGATAAACACGTAAGCCAGCACAAGGTTTTCACAGTTTGCCCACCCTACGGACCTTACGTAAGCCCGGGCATGATGAACCAAATCCTGCGGTGTGATTCGCTGAACGGAGAGGATCAGTCTTGCCCGCTCGGTATTGGCCTCTGCGTTCCTCAAGGAAATGGATACTGGTGGCAAGAATATTATTGAGTACTTAAAATCATTACTTCCCACTGAAATTTTGTACAAGTCCTTGCACTAAACGCGCAGTAAAAAGCCTTTGTTGGAGGGAAATTGCGCAAAAACAGCACTGAAATTGCAAAACGTCAGTAAAACTTTGTGAGTCGTTTTTTATGAGATAAAAATAGAGTCAGGCCTTTGAAATTCCTAGTATTGAAGCCGTAGAACACTCATTAGGGTGCAAGAGTTAAGCAGTTTAGTCCCATCTAAAGTAGCTTTTTTGACCCTGAAAATGACTGAATGATTTTTTTCAAACATGGCAGCAATTTATCGCTCTCAATTAATATTCCTGATGTTCCTAATTTCCGGCGAATGTTTACCATGATATTTGACGTTTCACGTTATTGTCACGACAAGTCTAGCTCAAGGAGCAGTGCGACCCAAAAATATCAGAAACGTCCATTTCAAAATGATTGTTTTTTTTCCCGCGGACGGTTCCCGAGAGAGAAATAAAATCTTTAAATTTTTAAAGATGAGAGTTTAAAGTTTTAGAGATGCGGTTAAGAGGTAAGAATAGAAAAAAACGAAATTTTAATCGTTTCACCCAAACTCGTTCCCAGCCTCTCTCCCCTCTGTCTCGCTTGGTCGTTGGGAGAAAGACCCTATTGCAGCTGTTCATGTGCACACCTGTGACACAAACTTTTCCACCGGGGTAGAGCCAACGAATAATTTTTGCCGATCTCAACTGAAGCGAGAGAAAGGGGATTGCTTGTCATCGCTTTAAATCATACACGGGCAAATACACCTTTGAAATTCCCAGTCCTATTCTAAGCTTCACACAGGTATATTTATAGTATTGAAGTATCATTCTGATTTCATTTCCAGGTGGTCGAATTACTAATTACTGTTTCATGTTTCCTGAATTAACCTCACGGCACATTGTTCGCTATATAAAACGATGTTTTACTTACCATTTTGCAAAATATCATTCTTGACGATGCCAAGGAACCGTGTTTAAACATCGGTCTAAAATAAACTTACATAAACCTGATGCAAATGAAATATAAGCATGGGCTTTGGTCAACAAAACTGTAAATCAAATTACATTGCTGTAAATCAAATGCAAGTTAAAATACTCGGCTAATCGGCCGTGTGACACAAATACTTTTTAACATCCAAAATACCGCACAAAGAAGAACATAAATTACCTCCGAATTCAAAGATTCAAGAGACTGATCCACTGGTTTTACTTCGATTCATTACGTGACGTTTTACATGTGCTAACCGTCGAAAGGTTTGAGCTCCATTTAGCTGCCGAATTTCTTTGTAACATAAGTCTTCTATATTTGGGAGACGGCAGAAATAATAATGTGGCATTCTTCATCGGCAAAATTCGACTGGAACCTAGATAAAGCGGGTAGTTGTAAGCGACTGATCCAGGTCTTGAAACTTTCAAAGTTTGTCACAGCAACAATCAAAACACTCTGCCACCCCTCCCGCCCAACAGATTTCTTTACCACCCAGATTCTGTGTGGTCACGTGAGCAGCCGCAACCAGGGTATTTATTCCAACGACCAAGGGGTGCAGAGGAGAGGGAGCCTGGGAACGAGGTTGCGTTTCGCCGTGTTGCTTTGTAGACGAACCACGATTTGCATGAATCCAGTTGTACAAGGTATCTGCAAAGCTATTGGACCAATCAAACATCTTGTTTAGCATTGTTCTCATTGTTGCTATCGATGGTCAAAACTAGTTCAGCTGAGGAAGAATTGTCCGCGTCTTTACAAGAGGTTTCTTTCATTTCATTTTCATTCAGTATATTTTCACAACATCGAACAATGACAGTGACAATAGAATTGTTAGATGGAATACACAAAATAATATAAAAGGGATGTCAAGGAACCAGGAGCCATAAGGCTTATAACGTTTGGCTCTCTCGTTAACATTTCGAATTGGAAAACATTAATTACTCGAAGTAAGCTATAATTTTGTTGAAGGTAGACGTTCATTATTTTTTTTTACATATAATTCTTAACCTGAGCCGGCCACTTAAAACTCTGCCAGTAACTGTGACCAACTAAAAGCTATCATGGCATTTCACTCCATACCTACCCTTAGCTTAACCCACAAAGTAATCCCTAACAAGAGCTCTTTGTAAGGCTATGCCATACTTTAAACCACTCCCCTAAATATAGAAGTTTAACCCTCAGGTCACCCCTAATATTACTTTACTTCTCGTTTTTTGTTTGCATTCCTTCACTAACCTTTACACTCCCACAGTATCTTCGACTAACAAGTTTTCTGGCCACTCAAAACCACCCAATCGTAATTCGCTCGGTCGCACACGTTTTCCTGCGCTTCCTGTCAGCTACACGAATGTTTTTACTCGTCTGGTTTTAATTGGTTATTGGATTGTCTGTGTCCATTGTGATTAGTGATTAATTTGGTTTTGGTTTTATGAAGTTCAATTGAAAACCACTCAATGGTGGAATTAAATTATTAAAGAAACTAAGAACCAAGAAATTGCAAGCTCAAAATTAGTGCAAACAGCAGGAACCAGAAACTTACATTGCAAAACAATCCACTGTTTATCATATTTTTCCAGGTAATATGTAGTGCAAAAATTCCATATTCAACAGATCTCTTAAGTAATGGTAACTTAGAAGTAATTTGATTTTGGGCGGAGATTATGGTGTTAGGAGAGAACAATGCTATTATACAAACCTCGAGTACAACCGACGGAAGTTCCCCTTTACTTAAAGCTTACATGCCTTTAAATACTCAGCTAACTGAGAAATAACCTCGAGAGCAGAAAATTATCGCTGTTGTTATTCTATCTACTGAAATAAACCTATGAATATCGTACGGAACGTCAAGGCTGGTAAAAGAATAGAGCCCGGTATGGGGTAGCCATTTCCTTACTACGAGTAACGCTCTTCAGGTACTGATCAGCAGAAGAGGAATACAACGCAGCGTTAATGATCTGATTTCTATTTCTACAGAGCTGTTTTCGCTTTAGTGTCGAAAAGTAATTGGTTTTGCATTGCTACGCTGCACGATCACCTAAAGATACTTCGCCTCTTTTTCATCTAGTAAGAAGTTAAACCAAAACCAATTGCAACAGTATTCGCTCACACACGTTTTCTCGCACTTTGTGTCCGCTACATATATCCAGTTTACTACAGGTTTTGATTGGTTCATTGGACTGTCTGTTTCCTAACTGATTGGTTGGAGTGATTACTTCGGTCTTGGTTTTACGACACTCGATTGAAAATCGCTCTATATGGTAGTGCTCCGTGCTCATAATCTGTTTACCAATTATCGGTTATTAGCTAGTAACGCCATTCAGCTCTATGTCGGCTCTTGGCACCCCACCCAGCTATAGACAGAAAAAAAA